TTTAACTGATGATTCAGTTAATTTAGGTTAACCCGAGTTAGGTCGGGTTGACCCAATGAATCAATTAATTCGGATTAACCCGAGTTAGATCGGGTTTACCTAGTGATTCAGTTGATTCAAGTTAACCTGATTTAGGTTGATTTGACCCAATAATTTAGTCCATTTAGGTTAATCGGAGTTAAGTGGGGTTGATCCAGTGATTTAGTTGATTTGGGTTAACCCTAGTTGGATAGAGTTGACCAGGTGGTTCAGTTAATTTGGGTTAACCCAAGTTTGGTCGGGTTGATCTGGTATTTCAATTGATTCAGGTTAACCTAAGTTGGGCATTTGGGTTAACTCGAGTTAGGTTGAGTTGACCCGGTGATTTAGTTGAATCGAGTTAACCCGAGTTAGGTCGAGTTGGCCAGGTGATTCAGTTGATTCAGGTTAACCCGAGTTGGGTTGGGTTGACCCATTGATTCAGTTGATTCAAGTTAACCAGAGTTGGGTCAGGTTGACCTGGTGATACAGTTGATTCAGGAGTTCTGGTTGACCCAGTGATTCAATTAGTTTAGGTGAACCCAAGTTGGGTCGGGTTGACCCGGGGATTTAGTTGATTTGGGTTAACCCGAATTCGATCGAGTTGACCCGATGATTTAGTTGATTCAGGTTAACGTGAGTTCGGTTGGGTTAATCATATGGTTTAGTTGATTCGGGTTAACTCGAGTTGGGTCGAGTTGATCTAGTGGTTTAGTTGATTTGGGGTAACTTGAGTTTGGTCGGGTTGACCTGGTGATTTAGTTGATTTGGGTTAACCAAAGTTGAGTCGGGTTACCCAGTGGTTTATTTGATTTGAGTTAACTCGAGTTCGGTCAGATTGACTTGGTGGTTTAGTTGAATTGATCTAAGTTAGGGCTAGACCAAAGAGTTGTTTAAATTATGCTAGGTCTAAGTTGGGTTAGACTTAGGGGGTTGATAAAGAGTTTGTTGTGTGTTGCTTTTATAAATATTATTAATATTACAAAATATACATGACACTACTAATAATAAATATGCAATTCAATTCCAATAAAAATAACTTTAGTATAAATACTTTTATCTTTTAAAATATTTAAACTGTCAAACTTGTGATAATAACACAAGTATATGTATCCCTCAAGTAATAAAGGGCTCTAATGGAGTCATAAGTATCGATCCTACAGAGAAGTTAAGAATTCTTATAATTATAATATAAAACACAATATTCAAACTACTAAACCTAAGTGCGAAATTCAAATCTAAAGTAATTGAGTGTATGTTAAATAAAATGCAGTTAAAAGAACTAAGTTAACTAAACTAATTGCTAAACTTCAAAAATACTTATAAACTAAACAAAGATTCTGTGACGAAGAGTTTAAATTTAAGAATACATCATTTCCTTTTACAATGAGTATATGAATTTTGAATAAATTAAATATATATATATATATATATAAAGGAAAATCCTACATCAGGAGTGTGTGCATGCAAGCTCATGTAAGCATGCTTGCCTCCATGTAATCATGCTCATGCAAGCATAATCAAGCCCGACCCTGCATTTTTGCATGCATGAGTATATACCCTCACTAGTGTGTGTGTGCTAGAGCACACCCGAGGGCTCATGTTCTCCCTCTAAAGCATAATCTCTGACTTACGTGCATGGTCGTCGTTACTTCTATTGGTAGTGACAGTTTATACATCCCATTTTTTTCACCTTTTTGTGTTCAGAGCCATTTTTTGATATTTTTTACTCAAATTTAATATCCTCAAATAAATATATCTTATTCTTTATCCTCTTTCAAGTGCATAAAAATATTAACTAATCTAAAGTTTGATCCCTAATTCCGTGATTAGGTTGGGAGGATACCGACTCTCACTTCTCCCTCGCCCGAGGGCTAACAATCTCGCATTAGTTTCCAATCAACTGGACCAAATTGAGGATTTTGATATGTCATCATAAAATCTCCAATTTTGCGTCCAATAAAGTATATTTCTCTATTTATTTGCAATCAACCATATGAATTATATTCTCACTCAAAGAAGTGAATGTGACTCTCACCATGTTGTATAAATTATAGCCCTTTTGGATCATATGTTTCTCAACACATTTTAACATTTCAATTGGCTAAATCAAAAAGCAGATTGAAATGAAAATGAAGATCAGAGTTTCTGTCACCGTAAAATCTCCAATTCTGCGTCCAACAAAGTATATTTCCCTATTTATTTGCAATCAACCCCATGGATTACATTCTAACTCAAAGAATTGAATGTGACTCTCATAATGTTGTAGAAATCATAGCCATTTTTGATCATATGTTTCTTAACACATTTTAATATTTCAATTGACTGGATTGAAATGAAAATGAAGATCGGAGTTTAAATTATTAGAAATTATTGACATTTAAAATTATATAAAATAAAATCAATTCTTCACAAAACCAAATCTCATTTTAGGAAGAAGTTTAAAGAAGACTATTCAAAACTCATGAGAATGATACGACAAAACACAGATTTCATATATAAAAATAAGTTTATAAAATAAAGAAAGAAAAAAAAAAACATAACTTATCTCACACTCCTTCCCAAGAAAATCCCTAGAAGTTCTCTTTAAGCACATTCCCTCTTTACAATTACTCTCAGTTCTCTCTTAGAAATATAATGAAAATGAAATCTCTCACTTTCCCTCTCCTCTTACAACCCTGGAAGAAAATCTCCAAGCCCCTCACTCTCTCACTTGCCTCTCGCCTCTCTTCTCTTGCCACTGAACCTCTCTTCAACCCTAGAATCCTCTCTTTATAATTAGTGGTTGCCGCCTCTAAAAAAGAATTCAAAATTCCCTCCCAAATTCTCTCCAAAAGTCACACCTTTTGAATCTCAAACGACATGTTCATTCATTCAAGAGACATATTCTTTCATTAGAGAACATTCCAAAGTGTATAGATGCATTGAATCACTCAATGGGGCGTTTGACACATTTGAAGCCTTCAAAATTCACTCAAAATTTGTCTTGAACCGCCTTAATCCATTAAATATCATCACTGGCGTTTTAGACGCCTGTTCTGGCGCTTCAGGCGCCGATTCTGATGCTTCGGGCACCGATTTTGGCGTTTCAAGCGCCGATTTTGGCGCTTCAAGCGCCGTCAACTCTGTGGAAAATGATGTTTAGGCGCCAGAATCACAAAGTTCTTTATTTTGGCTCCAAATTTCCTTCTTTTTACAACTTTGCTCAAAATGCCTAAAATTAATATACCTGCAATAAAAATATGAAAATATCATTCTTTAAAGTGCAATATAACAAAAAATAAGCATAAAATGTATGCTTTAAATAACACATTATTTTGGTGTATCAGGGGTTTGGTTTGAACTAGATCCAAGTTAAGTTAGATCTAGTAGGATTTAAGTTGAAACAGGTCTAAGGTAGGTTAGATCTAATAAGGTTTGTGTGGGACTAGGTCAAAGTTAGGTTAGACCTAGTAGGGTTTGGATTGGAGTAGGCTTAAGTTAGATTAGACCAAGTAGGGTTTGAGTTGAACTAGGTCCAAGTTGGGTTAGACCTGAAATGGTTCATGTTGGAATTAGGTCTAATTTGGGTTATACCTAAAATGGTTCAGGCTAGGTTTGAGTTAATTTAGACCTAGAATTGAATAGCTTATGATTATTTTAACTCATATAATAGTGAATAAACTAATAATAAACTTGCTAAATAAGTGAAATACTGCCAAGTAATTAAAAGAGAAAATTATTTTGTAAGAAAAATAAGCATATGAGTCAAGCATTTATGATTTTTTTTTGCTTGAAAGTCAATAAACTAAAGTGCCATTTACAGGCATTCCACATTTTCTTATGTATATACATATTAAACATTTGAAATTTTATATTTATATTCATAAAATTTTTAAAAAAATAAAATTACATAAAAATATCATAATTATTAATATTTAAAAAACAAAATTGATCTTTCATGTGATTCTGTCAAAAAGCTCATCGTTCACGAACAATTTGTGCTTAGCTCATTAAATACCTCTAGTTCAGTTCGTTAGTTAAGCAAGGGGGTTGAATACAAATAATTTTTTTTTAAAATTCAATTAATAAGCGAGCCAAAGACGAACCCTCGTTTGTGTTAGACTCTTTTAGGCCCAACATAATTAAAAAAAATAATATATATTTTATTTCCATCTTATATTAATTTTTAATATATTTTTGAATGATGCTGAGTTTATTATTTTTAAAAATTATTTGGAGGTATAATTATAAAAAAATATAAGTTTAAGTATTACATATGTAAATACAAAACATTGAGTGGCATGTATGTAAATATCTCTATAAATTAAATAAATTTAGAGGAGCTTCTGTAAAAACCAATTAGATGAATTCTCCCACACCACATGGGTAAAGATGGATAGTTATGTTCTGAGGAAAACTTTTTAAATGCTAAGTTTAGCCTTCTCTTTACAAAAAAAATTATGTAATGTGAGGAATTATAATATTTGAACTAGTTTAGTTAAAAAATAATTTTCTAATTATAATAATAATTTATTTAATTATGTTTTATAGCTCATGTGATCGGTGGAATTAAATTATTAATGTAAAATTTTATTCGAAAGTTTATGATTATAATAATCTTTATACTAACAGATTAATTTTCGAGTTAGATTCGAACATGCAAAAACATATTTAGAGTCCGACACAAATATATCGTTTTTAAGCTACTTTAAACACGATAGGTTTAAAGACTTACTTTCATATATAGGTTTGAGACACAAAGAATATTATATTAAACATTTAGGAAGATTAAGATGTAAAAACTCCTAAAATGAAAAATATCGATCTTTGATATGCTTGTTATTGTGTTATAATAATACTAGGAATATTTTTATAACACAATAATACATGAATAATATCATAATAATACCTGAATAAGGCGTCCTTGTGTTAGAACGAATTTTTTTCATTTTTTTTTTTATTTTTCTTTCCACATGACTTTTTATTGGACTGATATTTGTTCCCTGGTGGAGTCTGGCTTCCGATTTCGGAAGAAAAAAAAGGGTCCGACGGCCTCGGGAATGGGCGATGGTCGGGGGATAGCCGGCGGCAGTGGCGGCGGAGGAAGCAACCGGCCGGCGTGGCTACAGCAATACGACCTCGTTGGAAAGATTGGAGAGGGAACATACGGGCTCGTGTTTCTGGCCAAGACCAAACTGCGCAAGTGCTGCATCGCCATCAAGAAGTTCAAGCAGTCGAAGGACGGAGATGGCGTCTCCCCCACTGCTATTCGTGAGATTATGGTAGAAAAATCTTTTGTGTATCTTCCTCTTCAATTCTTTTAGTTTTACGTCTTCGATTAAGTAGTACTTGCGCAAGTTGACCACCATGTATGTCTCCGATGCAGTCGGTTGTTATGTTATTTATTTATTTATTTTTTGCTATTTTACTTTAATTTGTTGCTTCAATTTCACATGGAATCAGTGTTTTGGGGGTAGAAGGTGGCTCAGCAGGCACAAATTTGATGAGTTGAACATACGTTGAATCTTGCAGTTTTTCCGTCTAAGTGGAAAGAAGGATGGTATTGGCGTCTTCCCACCGCCATTCAGGAGCAATTATGATAGCCAAATCCACTTTGAACCCTTACTTTTTCGGTGCTCTTAAGTTTGTATTTTCGATCAAGTAACCCACAGAGAAGTTGTTGGCCCTGCATGATTTCCTGTGTAATTTTGTTTTGGGCAGGATATATGCATATCAGTGTTTGACGGGTAGAAAGAGGCTGATGTCATACCCTGATCCAATATGTTTTGGCAGCTTAATGAAAGAATGGCTCCAATGAGAAAATTTACATTCATTAGTTATATGACAGTTTATGCAACAATTTATAACAATTTATAACAATCAAAGTGATTCAGAGCATCAAAATCCAAGCATGTCAGCATAACAGTTCCACTGAAATAAAAAATTAAATCAAGCACTCCATTTACAAGTCACTGAAATAAAAAATTAAATCAAGCAATCCATTTACAAGTCATTTATACAAGCATCCCTTCTAGAAGTTACAAGCAGTAAGGTTTCAATATGCATAGACGCGATTTACTTTGCCTATTTGATAAGCTAAAATATGATTAATCCTGAACATAAACTCACAGCTCCCTTACCATTTTTTTCATTGGTTCTTTAGATATTTATGCAGTTCTTAAGCACAATGAAATACTAAGAGTATGTGGCAAGTTCGTTGACCCACAATTGTCTCCAAACCAAGCATATAAAGTATGCCATACAGCCATGGATAATGAAATATGATGTCAATTATAAACCACAATTAAGAATAGCATATTATTAACATGTTATAATTGTAAACATCATGTAATATAAAGGATGTTATAGTGTAATAAAGCATATGATGCAAGAATTCACTTAGCATTAATACAACATGTGATGCATGATGGCAGGGAAGCCTAGAGCTTGCATGATGGAGGGAAAAGGGTAGAGGCAGAGATCTTGTATGATAGAGGGGATTATTTTTTGTAAGCATGTAGCGGCGAGGGATCCGTTATAACCAATTAAGAGAGGTTGGCTTACTGGTGGTAAGTTTATATAGTTTAGTATTATGTGAAGGAAGTGTGGAGCCTTGTAGAGAGGCTTGGATATTTTTAGTGTTTACTAGAACAGTGGGAAATGAGAGAACCAGAATTACGGTTTGATGTTGGGGAGGGAGATCTTTACTATGGGGGTGCCTTGGGATTGCTTTGGAGTTATAGGAAATGATGAGTTGACTTGGATTGGGTATTTGACGGAGAGATGGGAGGTAAGGAGAGAGCAAAGCATATGTATAGAGTAAGGAGTTTACCACAATTTCTTTTGGGGTCGTCAAGTATATTATTCGTTAGGTTTCAACCAAGTCAAGGAAATATAGTGGTTCTAATTCATAGAAATCTTCATGGATCTCCTGTTTTGTGGCTGACCATAAACTTTTGGTGGGGAGATTTGAATGATTTTCATTATAATATTTTTTTTGGGAAGGTGGAGTGATCTTAATTTGTGGAACAAGTTGGAATTTAATAATGAAGGGTTCTACTAAGCTTGGATCATGCTTCTTGCTGTGAGATTTATATTTAGAAAACTCAATTTTATTTTATTAACTCAATTATCAGATGTATTAAAGACCAGCTTACCTATTTGAACTCATTTATTACATAGTTAATCTTAAATTATTTTGCTTTTATTTAAATATTATTTTAATATAATCAATATTCAATTTGTCAATCAAACTTCACTTCATTGATCAAGATTTATTAACATGACATCAAGGACCAAGGTTAGAATCCTAACCGCAACAACATTTTTCTCATTTGTAAGCCAAGTGGCAAACTATTTCAGTGAGTGAAATGCCAAAATGTTGGAATAATTTTTTAAACTTATCTATAGTATAAATTAAAAAACAACAAAAGTAATGGTTGCAATCTGATCAAATTTTAATCCTTCAATTGAAGCAAGAAACTGTTTATCGGGATAAGTACTGATTAAAGCAGCTTTGTTTGATTATTTTTTCTTATGATTTTACTCTTTTCACTTGAAACAAGAAGTTGTTCAAACTGATTTGTGAAGATTAAGCTTAACACCTCAGATGGCACTTAACAAGAATGAATGAAAAATAAATTTATAAATCCAACCCCAAATAGTTGGGATGAGATTAATGATGATGATGCCTTGAAACATAAATAAATATAAATTGTTATTTTTTTTAACTATTAAGAGCATGCATACTTGATATCGACCTGCCATTGATTTATTTTTTTTATTTCCCATTGTTTGATGGTTATAGTGAGCTCCATTTTTGCATGCATTTTGGAAAAATCAGCATGTATATGTATCTAAAATTATATTTAGATCTATATTGTAGTATTCAGTTGTCTTAGCCATTGAATGGTAATTAAGTTTCATTGTTAATAATATATCTCGGTTGTTGCAGTTGTTGCGGGAGATTTCACAGGAGATTGTTGTGGAACTAAGTTTCATTGTTAATAATATCTCTCGTTTGTTGCAGTTGTTGCGGGAGATTTCACAGGAGATTGTTGTGGAACTAAGTTTCATTGTTAATAATATCTCTCGTTTGTTGCAGTTGTTGCGGGAGATTTCACAGGAGAATGTTGTGAAACTTGTTAATGTACACATCAACCATGCTGACATGTCACTGTACCTGGCATTTGACTATGCTGATCATGACCTATATGTAAGTGCTGCCATATCTTCTGCAGTAACTTACCCTTCTGAATTGTATGTAACCGGTCTTAATATGGACGAGACTCTGAAATTTCTCTTTTTATGGTTTATGCTGCTGTTATTTGCGCCTTTTTCCTGTCAATAGGTGTTTTCTGCAATTAAGAAAAAGACTGAATGCTATATTTATTGTTTACTTTGGAAATGATTCTGTTTTGCAACCATGAAGCAAGAGTCTTTAGAGTTTTCTAACTTCATAAATATTAGGCTCCATGCTTTACATAATTTTCTGTTAAAGAATTTGATTGGATGATTACCAAATATATCTTTTTTTTATTACCGCATACCATATTAACTTTCTGCTTCTTAGAGTGATTGTTGTGAATATCCTATTTTAGCCATGATAGCTGTATGACTTTATTGGATAGCTGCTCAAAATCGCAAGTTACTTTCTTGATTTCCAGCAGAATTCTTGTCTCAACAAGCTGGTTTTGATATTCCCTCTTTGATTGATTTCTTGTAGTTGCCAGATTGCTTGCTTGGTTGATTTTGCCTTGGACATTTCGGTGGTGCTTGCACATTATCTTTAATTGTGTTGTTGCTTTCATGTTTCTACAAAAAAAATGTAAATATTTTCCCCTTTTTACATGTATATACTGCTTGTTTTCATGAATGATGCTGTATGAGTGGATAATAATGTATTCATTATAAGAATTTCTTTGTTCATGACATCAGTACGATGTTTCTGGTACACCAAAATTTCTTTACAATAACTGGAGAGAAATCCATTTCAACTCCTGCAGAATTATCTATTACAAGATTTTCCCTACTCTACCCAGTGGGCCATCTTCCTTTGTATAATGCACATTACTTAACACAAGCTCAATGGAGTCAACTTCGTTGAGTGGTTCAAATTCGTTATGCTTGGCCCAAAGGTAGGGGAAAGGCTGGGTAACTCACATAAGCTAAAAATCATCCATCTGAAGATGGACCAAATTACAACACTTCGGACGTTAAAGTTCCATTGTCAATTCCGCACATCCTAAGATTGGATGAACCTACTTGTTCTTCAAAACAACAAAGGTAATTTGGGAAGCTATTTAAGAGATCTATTCTGATCTAAATAACATAGCTTATATTTTGGAATTAGATTTAAAATCAAAATCACTCATCAAGCCAATAATAATTCCCCTAAATACCATAATTTAGATGAATTTATTCTATGAGATGGCATGAAATTGTTTGGTTGAAGTTGAAATGTATAAAAAAGATGCTTGAAAAAGAAAATTCTTTTCAGCTTCCTCCAACATCTCAATATAAACTCATCGAAGTATAGGTAAGATTGCTTGAGATGAAGTTAGTTTTGACCATTTGTGAATCCTTTACTGGAGTTAAAAAAGGGAAGAAATCAAAATGCATGTGATGATGAACTCAACAAATTGGATACGAAGCTTGTTGGATTCTCATGTTCCACTCTTGCTTGTAGCAAGAAGGATGGATGTTGAGAACACCAATTTCAAGAGAAAATATGGTGTGGTCATCCACCATACGCCACATCACACATGACCAAAATGGGACCTCCAGGAATATCAGCAGATTGGAAACATAAGCACCACATTTATATGGATCGCATAGCTCGAGTTTCAAATCAAAAAATTTCAAACCAATTGATTTCTTGATAAAACAAATACATATACTTTGTTAACTATTCAGACAACCAATGCATGTCACTATTCAAATAAATCAAAGAAATCTACGGTTTTTGTGATGTCAAAAGTGATTCCGAAAATATAGTTGTGTAAAACTTATAAAGTTGACTCCACTTTACAACGATGCCAAAAACTTGATGTTTTATTTTATGAATAAGAAATTTAAGTAATTTATATTGGGATTCTACGCAAGTATACGTATCATTATCAAGTAATATAAGACTTTCTATTTAAGCCCCAAATATCGATCCCACGAGGAATATTTAAATTTGAAATGATAAATTAACTAAGAAATTCATAGAAATAAAACAAAATTATTGTCACTAATTTCGAATTGTTTGAGATACTATCAGAACTAAATTATTAACTACTAGCAAAATTAAAATGTAACGTTTAAACAGTAACTACTAAACTATGTTTTATGTGATTATGTTTTCTAATATGAAAAAATATTTTTTCCACTACAATGAGTTTTTGGTAAAATGAGATAAGATAAATGGTTTAAATATGTATTGTGTCAAATAGGAACAATTTTAATTTTCTACCCTGATTCAGTGTTATAGAAAATTGTGTTATAGAGTGTTATAGAAAATTATTGACTAATCTCAGGTTTAGTCCCTAAATCCGTGTTTAGGCTAGAATACTGGTTCTCTCTCCAGAGCTCCCACTTCCCTTCCCCTGAAAGCTAACGCTCGCTTTAGTTCTTAAACACTAAGACCGAATTGGGGAATTTAGTCAGTCACCCTAAAATTTTCAATTCTACATCCAACAAAGTATATTTCCCTATTTATATGCACTTAACCTCATGAAATGCATTCTCAAGAACGAAATACTCCATGGAATTAAATGCAATTCTCACTTTTGTTGAAGAACTCATACTCCATTTTTTGGATCATATGTTTCACAATATATTTTAACAATTCAATTGACCAGATCGAAAAATAAATTAAGAACGAAGTTGAAAAATTATCGCAATTTATTTTATATTTTAAAATTGGCACATCCATATTATCTCTTCATTTCACCATATCTCAGAATAGGGAGAAGGATAGAGGGAACTACTCAAACTTCATGAGAAATAAATAACAAAACACAAATTTCATATATAAAATAAAGTTCATACAACATCGATAAACAAACAATATTTATCTGAAAAACTCTTTCTCAAAGAAAATCCTTTGTACCCTTTCCTTAGATGAAATCTCCCACTTCTTTCTCTTTAATACTCTTAGAGAAGAATTCTCACTTAAACTTACAATAAAAACTCAAAACTCTAAAGAAAAAAATGACTAATGTACTATAAGTGGCTGTGGGGAATGTGGAATAGTGTTGAAAGCGGTCGAAGGGGTCTTTTCTGATCAATTTTCGCTTTAAATAGAACCTAATGTCAGTTTTCCAATAGGTGTAGGAAGAAGAAATCTCTCACTTATCTCCATCTCTAACACTCTTAGAGAAGAATTCACACTTAAACTCACAAAAAAAACTCAAAACTCTAAAGAAATAAATGACTAATGTCCTATAAGAGACTGTGGGGAATGTGAAATAGTGTGGAAGAGTGGAAAGCAGTCGAAGGAGTCTTTTCTGATCAATTTCCCCTCTAAATAAAGCCTAATGTCGGTTTTCCAATAGGTGCATCAAAAAACTCTTCAAAAAGCGTTCAAATTTATCGAATTTTCTAGAAACAGGTCTTGCATCGACATTGGCGTTGTCGGCGCTAGTGACCGGTGAATTAATTCAATGTTCTCTGTTAAATGACGCCGTTGACGCTGAGGATAGTCAAACCTCTGTTCTGTAGGTCCGCGCCGTTGGCATTGAGTATTTCTTCAAAAATGCCATTTTGACTCCAAATTCCATCATTTTTGCTTCTTTTTTGCTTCAAGTCCTAAAAATCAATAACCTATAATAAAACATAAAAAAATACATTTCTTTAAAGTGCAATATCTCTAAAAATAAATATAAAATATAGGTCTAAATATGCATGTATTTTTAGTGCATCAAAATTCCCCAAATTTAAATATTACTTGTCCTCAAGTAAGTCTTTTACTACATAAAAATATGTCATGACAAATAATTTAACTTCTACATTTTCATATTTTAATTCACTAAATACAATAACATAACTTAAAAAAAATGTAAAATAACTTTAGAATATTAAAGGTATAAGAATATCTAGCAGTCAAGTCTCAGATTTTTGATTTTTTATTCTTTTCAAGAAAAATTGCAAATTGTCATATTAAAACCACTTATAATATCCATTTGAAAAAGAAATTCATGAAACTTTACTAGCAAATATGCTAATACTTAAATATAAGTTTAGAAAATGTAGCATAGCCTTCTTCTTTAAGTTGATTTAAGTGAAGACAATTTTTAATTAGGCATCTCCTCAAGCTTCTCTTCACATCTTTTTCTTTTCTTTTCTTTTCTTTTCTTTTCTTTCAGGATGATTTTCAATCATTTTTCTTTTCTTTTCTCTTTTTTTTGTGAGGATTACTATATCTGGATAGCCTTTAATGATTTTAAACTTCACTATCATCTTCTTAATGTTAAAAACTTTTCACATTCTTTTACTTTATAAATTTATATTAGCTTTAAAGATTTTTCATAAAGTTTTATTCTTTTATTCTTACATGAATCTCCAAGATTTTTTAACAATTCAGAAAAAAACAAATTCTTTTACTTATAATAGAAAAATAGTCTTATTCTCTTATACCAAATATCTTAATCTTTAAAATTAACTTTTATTATTGAACATTTTTACTTAAATTTATTCTATATTTAGAAACACAAATATAGTTATTTAAAGTTACCCTCTAATACCAAAGGTCATGTTAAATTTAAAATTTTTGAAAATATAGCTAATTGAGGACAAATAAAATTAAAATTTTTTATTTAAAAATGAATTTTTCTTCCCCCCAAACTTAAATTTTCAAAAGATTTAGTATGAAAAAAAAGGGTGAAAGAGAACATTTAATACATAAAGAAAAAACTTACTTGTTGAAAGTTCTGATATTGAAACATAACTCTGAAATATTGCAGGTGCTAATATGAAAAACTACAAGACTTAAAATATTAAATAATATATAATACGTATAAAAATTTGCTGAGAAATAGTTAACTATAAATACATTCAACAAAGTAAATACATTCAACAAAGTACTAAAAACTAACAACAGTACTAAAATAAATTCTAATGCAAAAAACAATTTTACAATCCTACTTTTCACAATATAACATAACATCTAAAATAAAACAAAGATCACACTCCAAAAACAAACAACAATAACAATAAAGTACAACCAACTAT